CCTTGCCCTGACCGCCCCCCAGATAGTCACATCTTCTGCCCTTTAGGAGAACCTTGGAGCCAGTCCTTTCAGTTCTTTCTGTGCCCTCTGCATGTGTGCCCTTGTCCTCACTGTGTTATGGATGCACATCCCAAGGGCTGTTGAATAAAGGCTCATTTTTCTGTGAAGGAACTAAAAAATGGTTCTCTCAACTGAAAAATGGACCCCTCCAGTGTGCATGTGGGAACCCCTCTTTCTAACCCGACTTTTCCTTAGCACCTTGAAAAACAGCGTGGTTGTATATCCCCATAGAAAGGGCAACCCTTGGCGTGGTAAGAAATCCCTTTGCTGAGGAGCAAAAACAAAATGTTCTGCGGGAGAAAAATCATCTTCCAGCTCTAATGCTAGCGGCAGGGGGGGGCGGCGCGCCGTGGCTGCGCCCCCCCGCCTCCTCCCGTGGCGAGACCTCGCGGGATGGCTTGCGGCTCGGCCGTGCTGCGGGAGGGATGCTCGGGCTCGTCGCTAGCCTGGTTTGCTACGGAAACGAGCTCGTGCGAAACCTGCCTGCCTGTCATTCCCCAGCCCTAAGAACTCCTGCATCCAAAGGGCGATTTCAGCCAGGTTTGGCAGAGGAGCAGCATTCGGAGAGATCCAGTTGCCCGTGAGGTTCATGGAAGTGGACAGCCGGGTAGAGTAGCCACCAGATGAGGCTGTAGCATGAAGTCCAACCCTTTTCTAGACATCAGAGAACCTAAACCTTCAGCCGTATAATGCGGAGTTGCAGGAGAGCAAGTTTCTCGTGGCGTGGCTTGGAGAGGGTGCAGCAGCCCCCCGTGCCGTGCAGCCACCTTCGCTCTCTCCCTGGCAGGCAAGTGGACGAGGGCGTGTGGACCTCCCCCAGCACCCTCAGCCAGTCCCCCAAGAAGGTGGCCCCCGAGACGGACTTCAGCAAAGGGCTGGATCTGGAGATGCCCACCAGCCCCCCCGTGAGCCTCCACCACCTGACGGCTGCCACCGAGACCCTGGGCATGCCCAGCTCCGGGCACAGCCCCCCCCAGACCCAGACCCACCCTTCCAAGAGCAATAACCCTTCCCGAGCTCCGGAGATGGTGCCCGCCAAGACCCAGACGGGCCCAGAGACCCCCAGCAAGAAGAGCGCGGACAAAGCTGTGTCCGTGGAGGTGAGAGCCTGGGGTGGGTTCCTCAGCTTGGGGTCTCTTCTACAGGGTCTGTCGGAGGGCTGGAACCCCTCTGCTGGGAGGAAAGGCTGGGAGAGCTGGGGCTG